ACAGATCACAATCATAAAACCAATTTCACTATTGCCTAACTCAGCTCCTTGACTTGCAGCATATGCATTGCGATCTGAGTGTTTCCACATATCACTTTATCTTGAACTCAGAATCTTATTGTCTCAGTTCCTCATAAATAACCCTGTACAACCTTCTGCTACATATGCTGAATCTAATATTGATCTCACTGCCCTACCTGTCATTATCCCAATAGGTGTGAAACCTGTTGTTTTGTGTGGGGCTGCCCTTAGTTTCATTAGGACTGCAGGTAACAATGATGTCCAGCTCTTACTCTGGAGTCTTGGATATTTATTTATTTATTTTTCCAGATTTTTCTTCTGGTTGAAACACCAGTCATAACTCTATCACATCAGTGAAGTTATCTTGGACTTTATTAGTCCCTTTGCCTTGGCCTTTTACATCAGGCATTCCATTATAACCATGTAGGAGAATTTACAATGCCATGGTTTCAGTCACCATTTGATTCCTTTTTTCAAATTTGGGTAATGATCATTATGTAAAAATCTGTAGGAAATAACTGGGTAGTTTTAATATTTTCAATCAAATTGCCAGTGTCCTTAAAAAGCTGGCTGTAAAGAACAGATATAAAGAACATTGCTGCCAGTCTGCTGTTTGCTAAAGATCACATGGACAAGCCAGAAGGCTATTGGAACAATGTTTTCTGGACAGATGTTGTATAGATCATTGATTTAATGAGAAATGTTATGTTTGGAGAAAGGGAAACACTGCATTCCAGCATAAAACCTTATACCATCTGTGAAACATGGTGGTGGTAGTATCATGGTTTGGGCCTGTTTTGCTGTATCTGGGCCAGGACGGCTTGCCGTCACTGATGAAACAATGAACTCTGAATAATACCAGCAAATTCTAAAGGAAAATGTCAGGACATCTGACCGTGCGCTGAAACTCAACTCAAGAGAATGTGGGTCATGCATCAATAAAACGATCCTAAGCACACAAGTCGTTCTACTAAAGAATGGGCAAAGAAGAATAAAGTTTGTTTTCAAAAGTTTAATATTTTCAAACAAATTGCTAATGTCCTTAAAAAGCTGGCTGTAAAGAACAGATATAAAGTATAAATGGAGAGTTTCATTTCAAATGAAAGCTGTCTATGTATGGATGGACCAACACTCGAGTTCCTTGGAGATCTACTGAAGAATCTTTAGCAAAACCTCATAGATTATAAGACTGTTTACTGGAAATGGTAGGACAAATCATAATGTATAACTCCATGAGTATCTGTTTACAGACTCCTTTATGGAATAATTTCAAGAATTTTATTAGGGATGAACCATTTTATAATTCTTTTTGGTCCTGTCATGGTATAAAGACAGTAGAGGACGTGTGCGGCGATGGTGGTTTGCTGTCATTTCAGGAGCTGCAGATGCTTTTTAATGTTTCAGCTTCTTCATATTTTATTTACAAGTTTGTTCTGCACTTTGAGCCTATGGAGTTTCTTGGGGCAGCACTCTCAGCTCTCACCCCTTGCTAGACTGGATAAGGCCTTTGGACAATCTATGGGGCAGAGTATTGTTAATTTACAAAACTTTGGTAGACCACCATATAAAGCAACAACTGTGGGAGCGAGAGATTTCCTGTACTGGTCCTTCCTAGGATTGGAACACTATATGGGCTAATTTAAGTCAAAAATCTGTTTATCCATTATAAAATACACCAATCAGTCATAACATTATGACCACCTCCTTGTTTCTACGCTCATTGTCCATTTTATCAGCTCCACTTACTATATAGGTGCACTTTGTAGTTCTACAGTTACAGACTGTAGTCCATCTGTTTCTCTGCATACTTTGTTAGCCCCCTTTTACCCTGTTCTTCAGTGGTCAGGACCCCCATGGACCCTCACAGAGCAGGTACTATTTGGGTGGTGGGTCATTTTCAGCACTGCAGTAACACTGACGTGGTGGTGGTGTGTTAGTGTGTTGCGCTGGTCTGAGTGGATCAGACACAGCAGTGCTTCTGGAGTTTTTAAACACCTCAGTGTCACTGCTGGACTGAGAATAGTCCACCAACCAAAAATATCCAGCCAACAGCGTCCTGTGGGCAGCGTCCTGTGACCACTGATGAAGGACTAGAGGATGACCAACACAAACTGTGCAGCAGCAGATGAGCTATCATCTCTGACTTTACATCTACTAGGTGAACTGACAAGGTAGGAGTGTCTAACAGAGTGGACAGTGAGTGGACACAGTGTTTAAACACTCCAGCAGCACTGCTGTGTCTGATCCACTCGCACCAGCACAACACACACTAACACACCACCACCATGTCAGTGTTACTGCAGTGCCGAGAATGATCCACCACACAAACAGTACCTGCTCTGTGAGGGTCCATGGGGGTAAAATGATAAAATGGACAATGAGTGCAGAAACAACGAGGTGGTCATAATATTATGCCTGATCGGTGTAATTCACAGAGCATATGCAACACCTTACAGGAGATATCAAATGAAACAAATTTCTAGTTATACCTCTAATATTTGTAACTCTGCACCTGGTACATTTATGCATATGTTCTGGGAATCTAGCAGATATATGGACCTCTACAGTAGATATCTTATCTAAAGTACTTTATATCAGTTTTCCACTTTCGCCACATTTATGTCTTTTAAATGACTCAGCTCTTCAGTTTTCTTTGATTCAGCGAAGGATGGTGATGGCAGATTTTACAGCTAGCACTTTGGATCACCCCACAGCTTTCAGTTATGAAATTCCATATCTAGTTTTCAAAGGCAAAACAGTCAACAATAAGAAACTGGGAGAATTTTTATGACTCTATTCAAGAATTTTAGTTTTCAATTAAATCATGTAATGTTGTTTAGTTGTGTCGTTGTTTATGTATTTTCTTAGTTTTATTGTTGATTTGTGTGAATTCCTAAAAATGCATGTCACCGTCCTGCCTTTCCCCACCCCTTTACCTTTTCCCACGCTTGTTGTAAAACATAATGAAAAATACAATAAAAAGTGGATCACAAAAAAAAGAAATGGAGAGTTTTTAACAACAACAACAACAGTAATCAAAAGAAAAATGCATTTTACAGATGAGCTGGCACCGTGGGGGGGGGTGTCCTTTGAACATAACAGACTCTAGCACAAACCTCCACTCTGCCCATCACTGTTCCCCTCCACACCATCTATTTCCCACCAGGTTGTCATTCTTCAACCTTGTGTACGCCCCTCGAGAATCCGACCAAAGGCCCTAGCACTGCATCTTCAGCTCCTCTAGTGCCAGAAGCTTCACCCACGAAAATCTGTGGAACCTTCAACCTGACTGTTCACCGTGTCCATGGAGTTCCAGCCAGAGACTCTAGCACTGCATGTTCAGCTCTTCTAGTGCCAAAGCCTTCTCTCACGGAAGGCAAAACCCTCACTAGCAGGGAGCCTCAACCATCTGCCTCGACTCCACATGCTGATCTACTTGCCTTGTGACATTGATCACGGCTCCCATCACCACCAGGAAGTCTAAACAAAGCACATTGGCTTCTCATATGAGTTCATGCCAGAATTCATGTACTTTGTTAAGACCCCGGATATGAGCAGGAGCTGCTTCCTTCCTCTCATGTCACCTTGACTACTGGTAATGGAGCCAAGTTGGATGATAGTAACCTTCCAGCCGTCCAGCCTCCCTCTCGTGGTGTACCCCTAATGCCCAGCTGCAGCAGAGAGATAGTTGAACCTGTGTCAGTGAGCACGGTGAGCCATTCACTCTCAATACTGCACTCTATCCTAAGTCCATGGCGGTGGCTGCTCTTTCTGGCTGTTCGGGCAGTGTGGAGCGTTATTCTCTCAGGGGTGATCAGAGGCTGCCTTTCTCAGTGCCCATCAGTGCAGTACTGTCTGCATAATCTGCCTGTTTTAACATTTTACTCCTTGCAGAATGTCTTACTGCACCTGTAGCACAAGCTGCTGCTACGAAGACAGATGAACAATACAATAATGGCATAGATACACTAAATGGACAAAAGTATTGGGTCACCTACACAATAAATCTGCAGGAGTTTTTCTGACATCCCATTCTAAATCCATGGGCATTAATATGGAGTTGGCCCCTTTGCAGCTGTAACAGCTTCCACTCTTCTGGCAAGCTTTCTATAAGATTTTGGAGAGTGTCTGTGGGAATTTTTGGCCTTCATCCAGAAGAGTATTTGTGTTCAGTGGGGTTGAGGTCAGGGCTTCCTCAAACTGTTCCTACAAATTTGGAAGTATAGAATTGATCAAAATGTCTTGTTCTGCTGAAGCATTAAGTTTTCGCTTCACTGGAACTAAGGGTTCTAGGCCAACCCCTGAAAAACAGCCCCATATCATCATTCCTCCTTCAACAAACTTTATAGCTGGCACAGTGCAGTCAGGCAGGTAACGTTCTCCTGGCATTCACCAAACCCAGACTTGTTCATCAGACTGACAGATAGAGAAGCGTGACTCGTCACTCCAAAGGAAATGTTTCCACTGCTCCAGAGTCCAGTGGCGGCGCTTTACAGCACTCCATCCAACGCTTGGCATTGTGCTTGGTGATGTAAGGCTTGCATGGAAACTCATGCCATGAAGCCCCTGGTGCAGTTTTTGTGCTGATGTTTAGGTTTAGAACTCAGTTATTGATCAGCAGAGTGTTGGTGACGTTTATACTCTATGCTCTTCAGCGCTCGGCGACCTGCTCTGTAACTTTACGTGGTCTGACACTCCGTGGCTGAGTTGCTGTGATTCCTAAACCCTTCCACTTTTCAATAATACACTCACAGTTGATCATGGAATTTCTATAAGGAAAGTGTATAAGGAGGTGTGATGCCACACTCAGTCACAGAGTTCAGCTTCTTCTGAATTTCCTAAACACCTTTTGCAAGTGTGAAGCCACCACTACTTCTGCATTTTCTTCTCCTGAAGTGTGTGTACGTGTGTGTGTGTGTGTGTGTACGTGTGTGTGCGCACGTGTGTGTCTGGTATATCTGTGCATGTTCCACTATATAAGAATCAGATGCTGATTGCCTGTTACATGCGTCGCATTTTCAACTGAGCTCTTCCACTCTGCACACGTCTCAAATAAAATATCTCAGGATGAGGGTCAGTGTGGTTCTGCTTTGGTTCTGCTTGTCTTGTGTTCAGCTCCAGAGAGCTGATGACCAGCTCACAGTGGGGGACGAGCAGGGGGAACAGCTTGTAGTGGGGGACGAGCAGGGGGAACAGCTCATAGTGGGGGACGAGCAGACTGAGTTCACTCAAAGCCAGATTGAAGAGCTGAAGAAACAAAACACAGGTAAATCAAATGACTTGAAAGATCCCCAAACAACCTTTTTTCACAATTGTTTTGAATTGTTTTGCTTAAGACCGTAATCCTGAATGAACATCTATGAAGGTCAAACAATTCCACAAGTTTGTAAAATTGAATGAAATTTGTTTGAAAGATTCAGATAATTTTATTCTGCATTTTGTTGCTTGTTGTTCTACATTGTTTATGCTGTTTATAAAGTTTGTAATGACATAATGATCCACATACATTTGTACTATTTAAGTACATTTTCCTTTAATATTGTTTGTTATTTTTATGTTAAAGCCATAAAAAACAGTGCTGAATTAAATTTGCTGCTGCTGTGTCATTAGTTTTTAGCTTTTTACAAACAAACAAACAATAAATGAGCAAGGAAGAATTATTATTTAAAGTGTGGGATGGGGGGGTTGTCTAGGGCATACTGCACAGCTCTGCATACTGCACCCCTAAAGCTCCTCTCCTGAGACTGAAGCCAGTGGCAGCTCCCACAATATATCAAGTTTAAGACTGTTTTCTAATGTTCTTTAATTCATTATTTTGCTAAGAAATAAACAACTGAATAATATATATAAAATATACATAGATATAATTAATAATAATAATAATAATAATAATAATAATAATAATAATAATAATGTGCTGCTGGTATACATCTAGCAAAAAATATTTAATTTTTAAACCTACTCAAAATTTCAAAACTGGGCTTTGAGGTTGTTTGTTTAATTTTTCTGCTTCTGAATTGGGTTATAATTCACATGATAGATATTAAAGAGAACAGAACTGGAATAAATAACACAACTCTGTGTTTATTAAATGCCACCATTTAATTATTTATTTTCATGACCTGAAATCTTTCATCTTTGAAATGTATTTGAAATGCTAAAACAGCAAGTTATTCTCATGTATATATGTGTGTGTGTGTGTGTATATATATACATATATATATATATATATATATATATATATATATATATATATATATATATAGAGAGAGAGAGAGAGAGAGAGAGAGAGAGAGAGAGAGAGAGAGAAATTGGTCCATTTGGTGTAAAATCTGACTGTGTTGTTGGTTGGTTGGATTATTTTTGTGTGTTTCACAGTTGCGGAGGGGAGTGCGGACTCTGTGGAAGCAACAGGAGAGGAGAATTCAAGTAAGACTTAAATGTGAAAGAAATCATAAACATGTGATGTATGTAAATATAACAAACTGAGTTTGTAGTCAGGCTCCATGTGCAGAGTAGTTATACTAAGGGCAGTCCAGCTCTGCCAAAGCACAAGAGGAGCTGAACATGCATTGCTAGAGCCTTTGGTCGGATCCTCGAGGGTCGTACACAAGCAGCTCATCTACCAAGAAAGACGGCCTGGTGGGAATCCAATAGTATATCATAGGCAGGGGTCAAAAATAGGCCAGCAGGTGCTCACAGGGAAAAAGGATTAGTGAAAATCAGGGGAACAGGCAAGAGTCACACATCAAGAGTCAGACTGTGTAAAGCCAAACAAAGAAGTTTATATATGCGAAGAGGTATATATCTCCATAAACTATCAGCAGGGGGGTGTAATGATGGAGGGGTGGAGCCAGGGAGGAGCAGGAGCTGGAATGAGCCATTTCAGACTGAGCAGGTCCAAAGGAAGTCTCCTCAAAAGGAGAGGGGGGGTGGGGGTGGAAGCATAATTACTGAGTGAGGAGGATAAAAACAGGCTTAAATCTGGTGTGTGTGCTGCTGTGAGTCACATTGTAAACTAATCTTAATCTTAAATTTAGTCGATATATCTGACATTCCCATTTTGAGATGGTTGTGCACTTATTATAAGATTATTTAGCTTATTTTCAGAAATTTTTTAGGTCATTTCATTGAGTAAAATGATCTCACTATACTGGCAGATGATTTTGTTGGTGTCAAGCACATTTCTAGAAACAAGCAAAATGATCTGCCACTATAGTGAGATAATTTTACTTGATAAGATACCACTTTTTGCAGTGATCAGGTCCACACCACAATGTATATCACTCTTATGGAAAAAGATCAAATTTGCCCTGAGACTGTACATGTTTCTGTTTGCAGTCAGGCGAAAGGTGGCGTTCTCATACGCTTTAGGCCTAAATGGCAATCTTGGGCCTCACAGCACTGGCGTTATAGTGCCTTTCCGCAGAAGAATCACAGATGTTGGAAGGGCGTACAATACCGTCACAGGTAAATGCACAGTCAGTACAGAGACAGTGTCTGATGTCTGGTTTGGTTCTTCTCTCTGGTGGTGTAGAGACTCTGTACTGATCCATCTGTTTCTCCTTCTGCAGGTGTTTTCACTGCTCCACTCAGAGGAGTCTATTACTTCAGGTTTAATATACTTGGTTACAGCAGGTCACACAGGCTGGCTGTATGTTTGTACAAAAATCATCAGAAAATCTTAGACGTGACTGAATACCCAAGAGGATGGTATAAGTACGCCGTTGGTGGAGCCACTCTGCTGCTGCGGAGAGGAGATCATGTGTATGTTGCGCTCAGACGTAACAGTCAGATTCATGACAACAGTAACAACCATTGCACTTTCACTGGTTTTCTGCTGTTTCCTATGTGAAGTGTTTTTACTGGTGAGGATAAATGTTGCATTCTAAGTTCTAAGACTATATTTCACAATAAACTGCCTTTGGCTTCTGTAGCTGATACTTTTTAGAATACATATAAAATGTGACCTGCATTTTTAAAATGGAGGAGAGATTATTAAACAATAAGTAACATATTAAGTGCCAGAAATCATTGAACAGGGCAAAAACAACCACTATAAGTACATCAGAATACAGAACAACTATGTAGCTTGATGCTTTCTTCTTTACTTGAAATATATTAATACTTTCTTTGCTTTAAGTTCCTCACCATTCCTTGCCATTTTCAGCATCGCAAAAAATGTGGTAAAAATGCTTTATAGATATAAAGAATCATTTTGTACTGCACAAGTGTGTTGTGTTTATTTCCTAAAGTGATGTTTATCATTGAAAGCAAGTGGCACTAAGGACTTTCAGAGAGATCATGTGATCAAAATGTGTGTGTAGTAATTTCAGAGGAAGCTGAACTGAACATACAAGGACATTTTACCCCTTTAATTCATTTGGTATAGTGTAGTTGGTAATATTACTGCCATTCTCATAGCAGACTGGGGTTTGATTCTCTGTCAGAGCAAGCACACCATGCTATACCAATAAGAGGGAGATGTAGTTAATGTACACGTGCTCACTAGAAAAAGACTGAAGAATCAGGATGCATCTTAATTATCATGAAAACACATATCGCTGTTGTTGATATTTCCAAAATGGTATTTTCACAGGAGAAGTAAAATACTTATTTATTTTCAATGTAAGTCAATGGAACCAGACTTTGTTCTAAGTCATTTTGGCCCATTTCTTTAGGTTCATTTATCATGAAACAATGTAAAAGGCAACAGGCACCTTCAAATTATGTCAAAAACTCAAAAATGACAAAAATGGGGATACAACGTTTTGTTCCGACATCAAGCGTAGACAATTAGTAACAGTGTCAATAAATAATCACAGAATATCACTTATTAAAGCAGCTGAGAACATAAGCAACTGAAAGGCTTTTGATCCTGACCCTCATTCATTCATTCATCTTCTTAAACCACTTGATCCAGCTAGGGTCACGATAAAAATAGAGAAAACAGGTCCCAGATGACAGAGAGTCCTCCTGTAACTTCCTCCAGCTTGTTCTGGGGATCCTGAGCTGCTCCAAGGCCAACTCGGAGATATAATCCCTCCAGCAAGTCCTACGATGACCTCTCTTCCCAGTCAGCCATACTTAGTAAACCAAAGGCAGGTGGCCAGGGGGGCATCCCAATCAGATGTCCGAATCACCTCAACGGTCTCCTCTCAATCTGGAGGAGTAGTGGCTCTACTTTAAGCTCCTCCTGGAAGACTGAGCTCCTCACCCCATCAAGTGGACTGTGGCCTTGATAAGCTAGTTTAATGTAGAATACTGTGTCACCTCCTACAATGGCATACACACACTTTAACTGTGAACTCCCGTTTGGTGTGTAGTGACAGAAATGATCATTAACATAAACACAGATTCTGTTTATCCATCATAAAGGAGATAAACTACTGGATTTGTTTTTGTTCCAGATCTTCCTGTTACCTGCCATATCTAGCACTACTTATCTTTCCAGGACACAAGTTGTGCTCTGCATATGCATTATCATTGGTTCAATTTGTCATTTGTTCATGCATAACCCAAAAATTTAATGTGTTTAATCATTTCCCTGATCATTATCTGGGTGCATCTTTGAGGTTTGCACAAGTGTTGCCGGCTTTTTCCAGCCATTATTAATGTTATAATACAGATGCCTGGTGTTCACATATACAATTACAGGTAGCATTTTACCCAAAACATGTAACATTACAACAAGAAAACATCCTTGTTCGGTTTTATGAAAATGCCGAAGATTAACAGTTTAAGCAATTTAAAATGGGACTCAGTGACACAAGACTGGTCATGCTAATGGTGTAAGGAGATGCTTAGGACAAGTCCTGCCTAGAAGACTCCAATGCTGTCACTCATTCATTACTCAGACCAATCACTGATTGCCACCTGTCTTTACAATGACTCAGCTTGCCTTGTTCAGCTGTTTTCAGGTGACGACATGTCGACGTTCCATCATTTTGATACACGTAGCAGCTACGTCTCCGAGAGAGATTGCTGATATTCAAGTTTCTGATTCCGGCAGTGAGCTTGTTCCTCCGTCTCTGATGACTTCTTATGCATTGCAGTGCTCACATCCACAGCTGTGAGTCTTTATGGTCTTCTTGGCCTTCCAAGAAGACTTCGGGGCTTTTGGGTGATCATGGCATTCCGGCTGCTAATTCTCTGAGCTGCCCCTCCATTCCTCCTGCAGACTTGCTCCTGCTTCTCCCGCAGCATCAGCTCAGCCAACAAAGGTTGGGAGGAAGTGTTTGGCAAAGTTGTCCTCTCCTCACTCAGCGAAAAGTTCCTGTAAGCACCCTGCTTTCTCTGTAGCCAGTCTCCTAGGATCCAGCTGCCCTGGATCTCCAACTGCCATAAGTCATCCAGAGTCTCACAGACTCTGCCTTAAATTCAGCCAGTTTGCCATTAAAAAGACAGTAAGACTCTTCCCCTTGGCATGCTGTGCTGATCCATGATGCCCTGCTGTTCCTGCCCTGCCTGCTTCAGCCTCTTCACTGCTCTACCTCCGCAAGGCTTGGGTAGGCCTCTCATTCCTCTTGTGGTCACTACTGCCTCTGCTTGCATCATGTCCAATATTCTTCAGGGTAAGAACTTTAATTAGGCCTCCTTGCTCGTCCATCCATCTTTTGTTTTTTCTTAAAATGTCTAATCCTATGCTGCAGCACAATCTCTCCTTTGGGGAGTCCGTTGTCACATTTGACATTTATAGGGATTTTTTGTGTCAAGTCTACCCCGAACATTGGGAGGAATCTTTTATCATAAATCATTTTTGGCCAAGTCTATCTAGCTGTTACACCTCCCTCCAGTCCCACAGACACTACCTCCCAGCCTCTGGAATCCATCTCCCAGAACACTTTGCCTGATCACATGACCTCTGATCTCCCTCACATGACTCTCCACAGGTCTGCTTCACCTGACTACTGATTCACCTCACCTGTTCCTTGTTTCTTGTGATCTGTTAGTTTAGTATATAAGCCCAGGCTTTAGCATAGATATTTGTGAAGTGTAGTCTTTGTTTACAGAGCTTTACTGAGCCTTCTAGTCTGTTTGTTTCACCATTCATGTGTGCTTGTCTTCTAATTGAATATTACCTTTCTGCTGGTTAAGTTGAGACTTGCTCTAGCTTAGACTCTGTTAGTTACAAGGCTGTCTTGTAGAACCTTGTGCTTAATTGTAATTACTAGTTTCAGGAGTAGTTTGACTTCAACCTGCCATTGGACAAACTGTAGTCATCCTGCCTGTTACCACTGCTATCATACTTCGACCTCACCCTCAACCAGACTCCTCCAATGCACAGAGCAGGCAACGCTTTGGACCTGATATTCACCAGACCTACCTCCGCACTGGATGTCACAGTAACTCCCCTTCACCGCTCTGATCACCACTTCCTATCTTTCTCACACTTCCTACCTGCTGTCCATTCCACCCCTTCACGCTCCTCCTCTCGACGCAACCTGCACTCCACTCCTTCCTCCTCTTTCACTTCAACTATCCTGACCACTCTTCCCCATCCTGATTCATTTTCTTCTCTCACTGGACACAGCTACAGATGCTTTCCTTTCTTCACTCTCATCTGCAATTAACTTTGTGTCCTCTCTCCTCCAGGCCAGCAAGATGTTCCCCACCTGCTCCCTGGCTGACAGGTGTCCTGCGCAGCAACCGGCAAGAAGTTCTCACTCGAAGTTACTGCTGCAAAGTCATCTTTCTACAGAGGGGAAACTGGAAGCATCAGCATCTGATCCACGCAAGCTCTTCAGCATTTTCTCCTCTCTCCTCAACCCTCCTCCTCCCCCTCCACTCTCTTCTCTCACCCCTGAGGATTTTGTCCCCTTCTTTGAGGAGAAGGTTGATAGAATCTGCCAGTCTTTTCCCTCTGTCTCCACTCCTTCCACTAGACCTCCTCTCATTCTCAATCCCTTAAACTGTATCTTCTCTTTCCACAGATGCTGTCCTTCAACTGATCAAATCCAGTAACCCAACCACCTGCCCACTGGATCCCATTCCATCCGCATTGTTCGTCAATCTCCAAGGATCTACTGTCCTTCATCACTTTTCTCATTAACAAGTCCTTGTCATCAGGTGAAGTTCCATCAACTTTGAAGACTGCAAGAAGCCCATGCTTGACAGCTCTGTCAACAACTACAGACCGGTATCACTCCTTTCTTTCCTTTCAAAAATTCTTGAATGTGCAGTCTATAATCAACTGTCTTTCTCACACAGAACCAGCCCCAGGACCCCATCCAGTCTGGCTTCAAACCAGCGCACTCAACAGAAACTGCTCTTATAGCAGTGACTGAGAAGCTCCAGTCAGCAAGATCAGCCTGTCTGTCATCTGTCCTGATTCTTCTTGACCTCTCAGCAGCTTTTGACACGGTCAACCACACAATCCTTCTGGACGTCCTCACCAACCTTGGAATCACTGGTTCTGTGTGGAAGTGGTTCAAGTCCTATCTGGAGGATCACTCATCAGGTAACATGGAAAGGGTCCACATCCTCTCCATGCAGGCTCTCCACTGGTGTCCCACAAGGCTCTGTGCTAGGTCCTCTTCTCTTTTTCTCTTTACACTAGCTCTCTTGGCAATGTAATCATCTCATGGCTTCTCTCATCACTGTTATGCTGATGACACTCAACTAATGCTTTCTTTCTCACCCTCTGACACACAGGTTTCCAGTCGGATCTCGGCATGTCTGTCTGACATCTCTTCATGGATGGCAGCTCACCACTTGAAGCTCAGTCCTAGCAAGACTGAGCTGCTATTCATCCCTGCAACTACAGGTCCTCATGATCTTGCCATCTCATTCGAGAACTCTCTGATTGTCCCGTCTGTAGAGGCAAGAAGTCTTGGTGTGGTTCTGGATGGCCAGTTATCGTTCTCGACTCACATCGCGAACCTAACTCAGTCATGCAGATTTCTCCTGTACAACATCCAGAGGATCCGACCCTTTCTCACTTGAGGCCACCCAGGTGCTAGTGCAGTCTCGTCATCTCAAGGCTTGACTACTGCAACTCGCTCTTGGCTGATTTTCCAGTGCAGCTTTGGAGGGTAGAGTGGTCTCTGCTGAAGTGGGTGCGGAAGCACTGAGAGAGGAGAATGCAAATAAGTCTTACATGTGAGAGAGAAATCATTTATCAAAGGCTTTATTAATAAAAAAAGGTAAGCAACATGCAAAATTCAACACACCAAAACAG